AATGCAATCCTTATACAGATACAAAATTCCTTTTTGAAGGAGATTGAAAGAGAAAATGTCAAGTTTATTTGGAGAGGAAAGAGACCTTGAATAAGCAAAGTACTTTCTGAAAACAAAAATGAAGTGAGAGGCATAGCACTCCTTAAACTAAAAATTTACCACACAGTGGTAGTAACGAAAACAGCATGGTACTGTACAATGACAGGTACACAGATCAATGGAACAGAATTGAGAACCCAGAAATGGACTCAGCTATCTATGGTGAACTGATATGCAAAAGGGAAATAAAATCTATCAAATGGGGAAATGACAACCTCTTTGACAACAAAACTGGCAAAACTGGACTGCTATCTTAAGGTGGATCAGAGACCTGGGAGTAATACCAAAAACCATAAAATTCATAAGAGACAAACTGGGATCAAGCTTAGAAGGCCTACTCTATAGTATAGAGACTGTCAAGTACAGCCAGAAACGCACAATCTGAAGAGCATAAAATTGATGAATGGGATCTTCTAAAGATTAAATCCCTGTGCACATCAAAAACTTTTTCTGATAAGGTGAAAATAAAACCTTCAGACAGGGAAAAAACATCTGGCAATAACATTCCAAGCAAGGCTCTCATAATGAAAGTTTACATAATACTCCTGGACTTCCACAAGAAAAAGAGAGATAACCAATTATAAAATGGGAAAAAGACAGGGAAAGAATTTTCACAGAAGAAGATATTTGGATGGACAACAGACATTTGAAGAAATGCTGCAGATCACTGGCAATTAGGGAGATGCAAATAAAAACAAAAAATGAGATACCATCTCACTCCATAAGCAAAGTTTAACAGGACAGCAAGTAATAAATACTGGCGAGGATGTGGTGAGACAGAAACTCTTATATATTCTTGATAGGATTGTAAAATGGTACAACCACTCTGGAAGGCAGTTTGGTGCTTCCTCAAAGAGCTGAACATAGAAATGTCACCTGACCCAGATATTCCACTGTTTGTAATATACCCTGAGAAAATGAGAACTGAGGCACAGATGGAGACTTGTACATCAATGTTCATAGCAGCATTATTCACCATCGCAAGAACATGGAAACAGCCCCAAAATCCAACCACAATGGAGTGGATTGAGAAATTACAGTACATTCACACAATGGAATACTAGGGCAGCATGCAGGAGCAATGATTCTGTAAACTACTATTTAGTTTGGGAGATACTGGAGAATATTATGCTGAGTAAACTATCTCAGTCCCATAAGGACAAATACTGTATAAAAACTATTACTGTAGAATGAGTATGAGGATCCAAGGGGAGGAAGGGGGGAAGCAGAGGGGTGAAGATGGGTGTGAGGGTTTAATCATAGGATCACACAATGTGATGGGGGCGATGAAGGAAATGGGAAAGATCCAGTGTGAGAAACAATGAATTTGAACTTTGTAAATAAACCCATACAATTTAAAAAAACCCAAAACCAAAACTAAAGAATTCCATTAAAAATAATTTTGGAAAAAAATAATTTTGAAAGATATCCCCTAGACCAAAAGTAATATGTTACTCTGTATAGTAAAATAGCTATGATTTTATAAAAGTACTGAAACATAAAGGAGCAGAAACATTTCACCCAGTTTTCTTTTCTTTGAACTTGGCTCATGTCTCCCTGGTAAATTACTGAAATTGATTTATTTTCTAAAAGATAACAAAATAAAACTAGCATGATATACATTTTATGCTTCTTAAAAAATATTCCACATTTACATATTTTTTAGATAGAGACAAGATGAATGGTTTGACTTGTTCTTTTTATAGACATACTAAACTTGTAATAGCTGATACCCCCAAGTCTAAATGTTAAATCAACATGTGTTTGAGGGACCTTCAACTTATCAAGTATTGCAGGTCTTTGATTGTTTTGGAACTTCTTCTGCTACTGTGGACTTAGTTCAAGGCCAGATTAGACAGGCCCCCCCCCCCCAATTGGATGAACAAATAATTAATTATTTGCTTTGGTCACTCAAGTTCAAGCAAATGCATCAGTGTTTTTCTATATAAAACCTAACTGAAATAGGTTAAGCACATTCTCCTCCCCAGGAATTTTACACTAGACAATTCAAAATGATAACAGTATCTTTGATTTGGGGAATTGTTGTTGTAATGTGTTGTTGTTTGTGGCTTTTTCTTGGAGTGAGGAGAAGGTAAGGGAAGCTTTATCTTTAAATTATCTTTTAGTCATTTATTTAGTGATTTTTTTTTATTTTCCCTGTTATATCACACATCTGGGTTTTTGTACATAGACATTTGTATTTTCTCCTCTAAATTTTTAAATTGTTATCTTTCTATATAGCCAATGAAAGATGCAATAATAGTATTTTCCTTTTTAGTATTGACATATACTTTTTATTATTATATAGATATATAACATTATGGACAGAAACTTAGTCAGTTCTCTGTGTGTATTTATGGGTGTACATAAAAGAAATTTGAATTTGTAAGGACATATGTGACAATTGGGAATCTGCACTGGAAAAGGTTTCTTCCTAGCATGTGGGTAAAAGAGATGCTCGGACTTATCAGACACATTCTCTTCAAGTTCTCATAGTACTTTAAATAGACTTGGTCCAAGCTGGAAACACTATATTGACTGTGCCTATTAGTCTATTCCTCCTATTAATCAGCCTGGGTTACAGTTTTCTAAGTGTATGTGACATCACTTTCATTTGTATGTATTATTTATTTATAATTGGTCCAAGAATACAAGAAATACAAATAGAATCAGAGCCAGAGACATAGTTAATTTAACTTTAGATTGGCACAGAGAACTTTTTTTAGGGGGGAGGCTGCCTACCTTCTGTTAAGTCACTTTCAAGAGGAGAAGAATACCGCTAACACCCCTTCAGCTGTGTAGAATGTTATATGTTGATTAACATTTATAATTTGTTTGTCTTTTCATTTGTATTTTGCTTCCGGCTTATTCATTTCCATTTTTGTTATCTTCAAACTGGGAAATATTTTACATTATAACTACCTGGAAAGATGCTTAGTCATGTTGGAAAACAAAGAAAGAATGTTAACATTTAAAATTATTTGTAAAAACACTGAATTACAAGTACTGATTCTGTTGGTACTTAATTTGCCTAATTTTGTTTTATTATAGTCTAATTTAGTGAATGAGATTCTCCTCTTAACTATCAAAGAATAATAGTTGTTAAATGAAGAAGATCAGAAAAGATGTCAGTAAAGATGTTTATAGTATATTTCTATCTGTAAAGGATACAAATTAATCTTTTTAAGTAGGAGGGAAGCAATACTTTGAAAAAGTACCATCTGTTTCAAGTCTAGGGGAGCTCTGGTGTAGTCCATAGGAGGTTATGCTGCTGAGCCAAAGGCCACACCTCTCTGGCAGTTTGACTGCCACCAGCTGCTCCTCAGGAGAAAGGTAGGCTATCTCTCTTGCTGAGATTTACAGTCTCAAAAAACCATTGCAGGGTCAACTCTAAGCAGGATCAGACTCAACAGAAATGAGTTGACTTGAGGATTTCACGTCTACACTGAGAGCAAGAATCTTGTTGTCTGTGTTGACTTTTGCATCTTTATCAGGATAAGTGGCTATAATAGGCATTCAGTAAGCGTTCCTAGAATTCTTGGCTACATAGATGGATTTTGTCAAGCCATCATGTTATCATGTTACTTTAATCCATTATTTTAGCAAAAGAATAGGACGTCAGCCACAAACGAAGCATTTATAAGCAGTAAGTTAAAACCAAATGCATCCTTTTCCTGTTTACCCTGTGTTTCTGTTTTATAGGAAGACGGGTGAACCACCTTTGGAGAATGGGTTCATCCCATACCTGGGCTGTGCACTGCAATTCGGTGCCAATCCTCTTGAATTCCTCAGAGCAAATCAAAGGAAGCATGGTCATGTTTTTACTTGTCAGCTAATGGGAAAATATGTCCATTTCATCACAAATCCCTTGTCCTTCCATAAGGTATTGAGCCATGGAAAACACTTTGACTGGAGAAAATTCCATTTCACTACTTCTGCAAAGGTAATCAGTGTCATGGGTAGTCAGTGCATATGATATTCTACTTGTTTTCCATCATTTTTTATATGTAAGTCTCTTTAGGAATTTTGTTGTATTTAGATTTAAGGATAGAGATGTGCACAAGAGCTCCTGCCATCTGGAGATTCTTAGGAACATAAGAAGTTGTGTTAAATAAACATCGACCCTTAGTATGATCATTTTAAAAAGTCAGAAGAGACTTTTAGTATATTTGCCATTTCTTAATCAGCTAATTTTGTCCTTAATGAGGACAGAAGTAAAAACTTAACAGCTTTTGGAGCAGCCAGTGATATGCTCTGTGGGTAAGACAGCTGGCATCTTGCTTAAGTCGACCATGTCTACGTGACCCCGAGAGTGGGGGCACTGGAAGAGCCAGACTTTCAGTAATTGTTCTATCCTGACCAAGCCACTCATTTTATTTTAAGAATTGGCCGGGTATTTTTGTTGTCATAAATGTCACTGAAGAGGCTCTATTAGGGAGAAGACAGTCAATTGATATTTATTGGGTTTCTTGCAAAGAAATATTAGATCAGGACTCTGTCACTAAGTAGCTTACCTTGTGGATTAAACTACATCTACAAAGAACATTCAGGCGGGCAATGATACAAAACCTTGTGGATCAGCACCAAATAAGGGCGCAAGAAAAGAAAGAAAACCATGGCAGTCCAGAGTTGTTTCCTTAAAAAGCTGGGATGTAAACTGGGTGCTGAAGGAAAGACAGGATGTGGCCATTTGCCTGGAGACATGGGAAGACCACTTTGCCTTTACTTAGCAAGTAGAGAATTTTTAAAGTATTTAATCTGTTTTCTGCCGTTTGACAGTGTTGCGTGTGGTTTCATTCTTTCCCCCACGTTTTATGCGCTGTAGGTGTTCGGGCACAGAAGTGTCGACCCCAGTGATGGGCATACCACTGAAAACATAAACAACACCTTCATCAAAACCCTGCAGGGCGATGCTTTGAATCCCCTCGCAGAAGCAATGCTGGAAAACCTCCAGCGAATAATGAGACCCTCCGTCCCTGCGGAACCCAAGCATGCGGCCTGGGTAACAGAAGGCATGTACTCCTTCTGCTACCGTGTGATGTTTGAAGCTGGGTATCTAACCCTTTTCGGCGAAGACCTCACAAGGCAAGAATCACATCGAGCGCTGATGCTAAGCAATCTGGACAACTTCAAGGAATTTGACAAGATCTTTCCTGCGCTGGTGGCGGGCCTGCCCATTCACATGTTCAAGGCTGCACACCACGCTCGGGAGAAGCTGGCCGAGGACTTGAGACACGAGAACCTCCGCAAGAGAGACCGCCTGTCCGACCTGGTCAGCCTACGCATGTTGCTCAATGACCAGCTCTCCACCTTTGACGACATGGAGAAGGCCAAGACGCACCTCGTCCTGCTCTGGGCCTCTCAAGCCAACACCATCCCAGCCACTTTCTGGAGCTTATTTCATTTGATCAGGTAACTATCAGTTTATCTATTTGTTTATGGAGGGAGAAAGCAGAATTTCAGTTTTACCCCCTCCACCCCCCCAAAAAATTCAAGGTACCTTCTTATGTCATCCATCAGGGTGTAATATTTATTTTTTCTTTAAAGAGTGTAAGATTGATACTCATAAATTATTAGCACGTATCAGAATTCATCTCCACAGAAATGGGAGCAGGTGTGACTGTAAACCGGTTCTAAGCTGCAGAACTGTCCCAGGCAAAGAAATGAGTCTCAAGTCCTAGAGCTTGGCTGTGCTGGAACTGAATCAGACCATCTGGTGGACCACTGCTGCTTCAAGTTCATAAACAATCTTCAAAATCATAAAAATAGATTTATATAATCACTTTTGAACAACAACCAGCACAACGCCTCTGCTTTATTGTTATGTGCACTCACTGTTCTCGCCATCCCTTTTATCACTAAATTAGTAATTATTATCTCATTGTTGGTCCAATTATGATATCAGCTACGGAACTGATGGTGGCTTGGTGGTTAAGGAGTTGGTGCTGTCAACCCAAGGGCTGTGGTTGTAATTCACCAGCTATGCTGTAGGAGAAAGGTGGAAAACTTCTTTCTATGTGATTTACTCCCTCTGAAAACCCGCAGCAGGGTCAGCTATGAGTCATTTCCAACTGACGTTACTCAACAATGACAACATGGTGTCAACTGGTCAATCATTATCTATTATCACTAATAAGAGATGAGGAGATTTTTGCCTTTTTTTTTAGATTTTTGCCTTTTAAAGCTGTATTCAACATATATTTTACCTAACATCATATATTTCTGAAATATTTACCTTCTAGCAAACTATTGATCAAGTAGTTTATTACATTTTTGCAATTATGGTTTGTACCATAAATATACAAAATAATTATTTCTAGAATGCTAGGTGGGAATACTAGTTTTCCGTCAACAGATGATCATTTTATGCTTTTAATAGAAAAATATTTAAAAATTTAATTTCAGAAACAAAACAGTCTTAAGTGACTATTAGTATCAATTAGAAAGTATCTTCCAAAGTCATTATTTAGGATAGCTATATCTGAAATGAATTCACCTATTTACAGGAAAGTTACTTACCTTAATACTAAATAAATAATAATAACAACAATGTTTTATTATGGTCACACAAGTACTTTTCAGTCGAGTGTCTGAAGCTGTATTTGAGCTCTATGCAATCTAGAGCCCTTAACTGTTCTGATGTTTCAATGAACTTCAGTGCCCTGAAATGAAGTAGGCTTTATTTCACAATTCTGAGTATTATACTAATAAATTATAACAGAAATGAAAACTGTTCTAATATGGAATCGTGGTATGCTGTTTAAGAATAAATATATAAAAAAGAATAAATGTATCTATTTGGAATTTAGCCAGGTACTTTAGCATTTTTAGGTTATGTATGTACCAGACCTTATTAGAATCATATGTTCATAAAAGTCTGGCACAGTTTAATTTTTATATAGGAAGGCTGATTGATAAAAGAAAACAATTCTTGCCAATATCCAAAAGCATAAAAGAGATTAAAACCAGAAGTGACAATATCTGTTTCCCATCTTCTCTTGTATTTGTTGGGTTGGATAGTTGCTATCGAATCAGCCCTGAGACATGTGTGACAGAATGAAATGTTGCCCTCTTTGTACTCTCCAGGATGGTATGCCAGCTCATTAAAAGAAAAGGGAAATGCCTATTTGTTTGTAGATCTGTTGGTATATTTGTACATCTTTCTTTTCTCTTAACTTTTAATAGGAGTCCTGAAGCAATGAAAGCAGCTGCTGAAGAAGTGAATAAGACATTAGAGAATGCGGGCCAAAAAATCCAATTTGAAGGCAACCCGATTTGTTTGAATCAAACTCAGCTGAATGGCATGCCTATTCTAGGTGCGCATGGGCTCCCTTTGCTTCTCCTCCTCCACCACCAGCAGCCCTGGTCAACACCTATTTAGTCTAAGAAGTTCTTAGATTTACGCCAAACAATTAATATGTATTGTCTTAATAATTATGAAAACAATCTTTTGGCAAAGGGCTATTTGTGGGAGCTTCTAGTTCATAGGGAGTAGCTGTATGTTGTTAACCCAAAGATGGCGGTTCTACTTGACCAAGGTGTCTGAGAATGAAAAGTGAGCAATCTCCTCCTGTGAGATTTACAGCCTGGAAAATTGAATGGAGGGTCACCTATGATTGATTCTAACTCAGCGGCAACCAATTACAGGCTTCGTAAGTGACTCAATCCTATACTATTAATCTTTATCCAGTGCTACCTTGGTCTGCCTCTCGGTTATTTCTGTATCCTGACAGTAATGTTGTGATAATGGTAGCATATTATTCATTTTAGGGAGGGACGGCGCAGGAGGGGAAGACCCTCTATGAGATGGATCGATTCAGTGACTGGGGTAATCGGGATGGGTGTGTCAGAGGCAGTGCGGTTGGCGCAGGATAGAGCAGGGTTTAGGGCTGTTGTGCATGGGGTCGCTATGAGTCGGAAACGACTCGACGGCACATAACAACAACAACAAAGGGAGAAAAGTACTATCAAAGCTTCAGTTATCTATGGTCGATGAGATTAAAACCCAAATCAAACTCATTCGGTCAGGTTGGAAGTGACTCATAGCTGATTCTCCAGCAGAGTTTTGGAGGCTGTGTATCACCTAGAAGACTGCTCATCTTTCTCTCATAGAGCTGCTGATGGATTTGAACCACTTACGTTTAGGTTGGTAGCACAACTCCTTACCCACTGGGCCAGATTACCACTATCTCAGATGGTAAGATTAAGGACACTAGATACAACTGAAGAATTAATTGGAAGTAAAATAAGGTTAGCTTTTTTAAAAATGGGAATTTTTTTATGCATCCAGCTTTCATAGTCTTTCCATCTTTGTGTGGCAGGATAGTACGGGTATTTCTGAACTCTGTATGACGTGGTCTTTAAATATATGATTTGTTCTGTCTTCTTTCCCCCAACCCCATGACTCCTCCTTCCTGTTCCTCCTTCGTTCTCTTCTTTTAAAATGTTTAGACAGCATCATCAAGGAGTCTCTGAGGCTCTCCAGTGCTTCCTTGAACATCCGGGCAGCAAAGGAGGACTTTGCTTTGCACATTGAAGACAAGTCCTTCAACATCCGAAAAGATGACTTCATAGCTTTTTATCCTCAGTTGATGCACTTAGATCCTGAAATCTATCCTGACCCTTTGGTGAGTGAAGTGTCCAAGCAATAGCTACCTAGATTCAATAGAAGAGAAAGTTTACTAGTCATTTGATCGCCATGGTCATAGCTATTGCCCTCTCAAACATACAAAATGTTTATGTATTTTGGAAAACATGGTTGATGGCCTTTCAGTTTTATTTCTATTTGGCACCACTAAATCTCTGCTAAATTATACTTGTAATCATCATAATAAATCTCTCATTTTTCTTTTTCTTTAAAAATTACTTGGTTCCAAATACAGACTATTGGATAACATTCTGACTCATCTAGTTTCTGATATGAACTGTCTTCCTAATTTTAACAAAAGGTTTCTCAGACAAAGCAAAAAGGGAAAATCTGGAAAAACTTGGAAAAGATTCCATACTTTTAGTATAGATGTTTACTGAATTATTTATTAATTTAAAAATGAAATAGCTCTATTACTCCCAGGTGAAGAAAGAGATGCACTCCTTTAAATTTATGAGTTGTATTTTCTTTCTATTTTTTTCAGACTTTTAAATATGATCGCTATCTTGATGAAAATGGGAAAGCAAAGACCACCTTCTATAGTAATGGACTCAAATTGAAATATTACTACATGCCCTTTGGATCAGGAGCTACAATATGTCCAGGGCGACTATTTGCTGTGCATGAAATCAAGCAATTCTTAATTCTGATGATTTCCTACTTTGAGTTAGAGCTTGTGGACAGTAAGATTAAGTGTCCTCCTTTGGACCAGTCTCGGGCAGGCCTAGGTATCTTACCACCATTAAATGATATTGACTTTAAATATAAATTCAAAGATTTGTGAATGTTTGGCTAGAGAAAGAGGACATTAGATGATTCAGCACTGAGGAGCACCTTCTGCTCAAATGCTTTTGTGGGCCCAATTCAGCAGGCCCTGTTGTGTTCACCAATTGCTGGTTTCCACATTTTAGCATTTTGAGGACTGTTTCCAGAGCTCAGAATCTCAATTTGTGCTGCTGAAAAGAATTCATTTCTAAAGCACAATAATATGTTTTGTTTGATTAAATGACTGAATGTGCATATAGTCATGGGCTAAACTTCATTACTTTCAAAGGCAGAAAAATGTCCTTTTCCCCTCTTTTATGCAGTGGAATGAAGGTATAGTGATTGGAAGCTTGGTGTTCTGTTTTATTTTACTTTTCTAAGGAAATGGCTATGTTTTAATAAAAATCACCCAAAATACTGAGAAAGACCCAAATTCACGTTTTAGTGAAACAACGCTATTTTTTGACCATGGAGTTCTTCAGATGTGAATATAGTAATATAGTACTTAAAAGGAGTAAAGGGAGGGGAGAAAAAGAGTAAAGGTGTGTATCTTGCCATTTATTTAAGCCCATCCTCCCCACTTCCTCTATATTCAGTGATCAGAGCATTTAGAATGATGATCTCAACACCTTGAAAACATTAAAGGTAGTTTTTGTATTTTTGTTTCATTTATTGTCGAAAACTTCAATGTCTATGCCAGGTTCAACTATTTTATGTATACTTTAATTCCTTGTTAATGAGAGGTTTTGCCATTGAAAATGAGGGTTTCTGTTATTATTAAATATATATCAATAAAAAAATGTTACATTCTTGAGCTATTTTAGAGATTATACCTAGGGAAGAAGGCAATTTAAAAATTTTATTATGAAAGAGTTTATTAGGTGTATCTTGGTATTATTTTATGTAAACTTTTTTTTATCTTTAGTAACTTATGGGTGAAGGATAAAAAACTAAAGCCAATGTGATAAGTCTTTAAATTTTGTATACTACAAATCTTTGCTCAAATATTTTAAGTTTTGAAGTTATCAAGTATGGTATTTTTATTCATATTTCTGTATTTATATGGGAATAGTATTTATTTTATATTAAAATATTAACTGTTGTGACATTTAATTTTTAAATGAGTCATCATTCAGAAATAAAAATATGAGTATATGTTTTGCATTTTTCAGTATTTGATGTTGCTCTTGTTAAGTGCCATCGAGTTGACCACAATCCTACGTGCAATAGTTGTAAACCTTGTCCTATCCTGAGCAAATGTCACTGTTTCTGACATACCTACTGTCATCACCCCAGTTACTGCATTGATCCACCTTATCCAGGGGTTTCCTTTCCTACTCTGTCACTTTACACCTTCCACGCATGATGCTCTTCTCCAAGAATTGATTCCTTCTGACAACATACCCAAAGTATGGGAGATAGAGCCTCAAAATCCTTGCCTACAAGGAGCAATTTTGTTTCACCATCTCTAGGACAGACCTGTTTGTTCTCTTGGCAGTCTATAATATGTTCAATACTCTTCTCCACCATAACTCAAGGGCATCAATTCTTCTTCTGTCATCTTTAGTCATTTTCCAGTTATCTGACGTTGTTGCTGTTGCTATATGCCATTGAGTCACTTGCAACTCATAGCGACCCTATGTACAATAGCCCTGAAACTTGCTCTATCCTGTGCCAACTTATCATCTCTGACACACCTACCTTCATTTCCCCAGTCACTGAATCAATCAATCCATTTCATCAAGGCTCTTCCTCTCTTGCTCTGTCCTTTCATGCTTTCAAGCACGATGTTTCTCTTCAAGAACTGGTTCCTCCTTGCAACATGCCCAAAGTATATCGGACAGAGCCCCAGAATTCATGCCTCCAAGGAGCAGCCAGGTTTCATCCTCTCTAGGATGAACTTGTTTGTTCTCCTGGCAGTCCATGGTATATTCAGTTCTCTTCTCCAGTACCATAGCTCAAAGGCATCTATTCTCTTTCTATCAATCTGGTCATTGTCCAGCTTGCTGATGCACAGCAAGTAATTGCAAAGACTATGGAGTGGATCAGGTGCACCTTAGTCTCCAGAATGACATCATTGCTTTTCAGTACTCTGGAGAGGTCCTTAGAGCCAACTTTTCCAATGTAATCCTTCTTTTGATTTCCTGGCTGCTGGTACCAAGAGTGTTGACTGGAGTCAAGAAATTGAAAGCTGTAAACAGTGATGCCAATAGGCCCAGTGGTGAGGATCTTTGTTTTCTTGATGTGGAGCTTCAATCCATACTGAAGGCTGTAGTCCTTGATCTGCTACAGCAAGTACTTCAGGTCCTCCTCAGCTTCAGCAAGCAGGGTTGTTTCATCTGCGTAACACAGATCATTGATGAGTCTTCCTCCAATCTTGATGCCACACTACTCCTCATAGAACCCAGACTCCTGGATAATCTGTTCTGCATATAGATTGACAAGACATGGAGATAGGACACATACTTGGTGTACACCCTTCACAATTTTGGACCATGTTGTGTATCCTTGCTCTGTTCTGTTTCACATAAGCACAATCAAATGTTCCAAGTTTCCCATTCTTCTGAGTTAGCCAAGGTTTGTTATTATTCACACAGTCAAATACCTTTGCATAGTCAATGGAACACAGACATTTCTCTGGTATTCTCTATTTTCAGCCAACATCCAAGTAATACTAGCTATAATATCCCTAGTACAATGGCCTCTTCCAAACTCACCTTGTACATCTGGTAGTCCTCTCCTATTCCACCCATTTTTTTATAATCTTTAGCAGAATTTTGCTTGCATGTGGTATTAATAATATTGTTCAATAATTTCTTCATTCTGTTGGGTCACCTTTCTTTAGAATGGAAACAAACACGGTCATACTTCAATCAGTTGGTCATGTGGTTGTCTTCCAGATTTCTTGGCACAACTTGGTGAGCACATCCAGGGCAGCGTCTGTTTGTTAAAATAAATCAATAGGTATTCTGTCAATTCCTGGGACCTTGTTTTTTGCCAATTCTTTCAGAACAGCTTGAACATCTTCCTTCATCACCACAGCCTCTTGTTAATATGTTGTTTCATGAAATTCTTCTGTGTCAGCCAATTCCTTGTGGTACAGTGACTGTACTCTCCTTTCATCTTCTTTTAATGCTTCCTGGATCATTTTCTATTCTGCCCAAAGCATTCTTAAATATTGTAACTCAAGGCTTGAATTTGTTCTTCAATTCCTTCAGCTTAAGAAATGCTGAGCAAGTTTAGCTTTTTTTTATTTTCTGACTCTAGCTCTTTGCACATTTGATTATAATACTTTGCTTTCTCTTCCTGAGCTGTCCTTTAAATCTTCTGTTCAGCTTCTTAATTTCTTCCCTTCACTTTGGTTTTTTTTTTGGTGTTTCCACTCAGAGTCTCTTCTGACATCCACCTTGGTCTTTTCTTCCTCCTCTGTCTTTGTAATGACCTTTTGCATTCTTCCTGGTTTATATTCTTCACATCTCCCCACAACTCATCTGGTCTTCACTCATTGGTGTTCAAGGCTTCAAAGCTGTTCCTGAGATGCTTTTGAAATTCAAGTGGTAGAGACTTGGGGACAAATTTTGGTTCCTGTGGATTTGATTTCATTTTCTTCAGCTTCAGCTTCAACTTGCATATAAGTAGTTGGTGGTTTGTTCCACAATCAGCACCTGGACTTGTTTTCACAACTGATAATGAGCTTCTTCACCGATTCTTTCCACAGATGTAATCAGTTTTATTCCTATGTATACCATCAGATGAAATCCATGTGGATAGCCTGGGTTTGTGTTCTTATAAATGTATTTGCAATGAATAAATAATTGAATATACAAAATTCTATTATGGATTAGGCACACCTTAGTCTCTAGACTGATATTGCTGCTCTTCAGCACTCTAGATAGGTCCCTGACAGCAAAGTTTTCTAAGGCAAGTCATCTTTTGATTTCCTCAATGTTTATAATATTCACCTCCAGGAAAGCTATAACAATTTTGTTCAAAGTTTATTCCTGGGGAAAGCAAATAACTGTTACTAAAAATATCCACCATACTACATAAAATTTATATAAAATTTTAAATCTTGTTATTTGATGTCATAGATTGGCCTTTTAAGAAGGCTATTGTAATATCTGGAGCTCTAATTGTAAGGATCGGCAAGAGCAGCTTTATCCGGCTGAGCAGCTGGTGGATTTGAACTGGGTGCCTTTAAGTTTGCAGTGAACCTCCTTACCTACTAGGCTATTAGAACTTTCATGTTAAGGATAGTCCCTGAACTAAGAATAGTTTCTATAATTTTGAAGGGTTGAAAACAAATCAAAAGAAGGCTAATATTTTGTGACATGTGCAAATGCTGTAAAATTCACACTTCGATGCCCGTAAGTCAAGTTCTATTGGGGCACAATCAGAGTCCTTTCTTTAAGCCTTGTTAGGGCGGTTCATAGTGTTACTATGAGTCATAGTTGACACAAGGTTCTAACAACAACAACAATAGAGATCCTCCCATTATGTAATGTCAGGGCTGAGTAGCTGTACAGAAACTATGTGGCACCAAAACTTAATTTTTACAGATCTCTATTATATAGTGATTCTTAAGTTTTTGTTTGGTTTTTTTATCATAATTTTGATAACTACAAAAAAGTGACTAGCATATGATTTTTTATATATATTAGAGATTATGAAGGAAACACTTTTTAAAAGCTGAATGTCTATCTGTGCTTCATTGACTATGCAAAGGCTTTTGACTGTGAGGATAATTACAAGCTATAGCTGACTCTGAGAAGAATGGGAATCCCAGAACATTTGATTGTGCTAATGTGAAACCTATACTTGGACCAAGAGGCAGTCATCAGAACAGAGCATGGAGATACTACATGATTCAAAATCAAGAAGGGGGTCCGTCAGGGATGTATTTTGTTGTCATACCTTTTCAATCTGTATGCAGAACAAAACATCCGAGACACTGGGCTGTATGAGGAGAAATGTGGCAAAATCATTTGTGGAAGAGTCATCAACAACCTGCGTTATGCA